AGATAATGGAATTATCAGGTAGTGACTTTAGAATGGCTTTAGCATTTCTTATAACGTGGATTTACTAGCAATGAATTCTCTCAGCTTTGTTTACCTGGGAATGTCTTTATTTCTCCTTCATTTTTGAAAGATAGGTTTGCTGGATATAAGATTCTTGGTGGACACTTTCTTTCTTTAGCCTTGAATGTGTCATCCTTCTTTCTTCTGGCCTCCATTTTTTCTGATGAGAAGTCAGAGTTAATCTTATTAGATTCACTTGTACGTGACAATTCGTTTTTCTCCTGCTGCTTTCAAGATTGTCCTTTTATCTTAGACTTTCAACATTTTCATTTTCTGTGACTAGCTGTGGATCTATTTGTGTTTGTCCTACTTGAGTTCATTGAGCTTCTTGGATGTATAGGTTAATATTTTTCATCAAATTTGAGAAGTTTCAGCTCTTATTTCTTCTACAAAAAGACTCAAACATGAATGTTGATAGCACTTTTATAAAATGAACAAAGTAAAAACTACAATGAATATTAGAAAATAAGAGTTTCTGCTTTTGTGGCCTCACACAGAATGGAGTCAGACTAAACAAATGGCCTTAAAGCATTCTTAGAATAAACAAAAACAATTGAAAAACAACAAAAATCAGAAATGCCAACTGCAGGAATTAGTCTTTTTCCAGAAATTTGAGTGAAAATATCATATTCTCTCCTAACATAGTAACGACTGAATAAATTTAGAAAACTTATAAAGACTGTCTTTGGAAGTTAGTTGTAATGATTTGTTTATAGAACATCATCCCTTTTTATTTAAGTTGGTTTTTTTAAATGTTTGACTACAGCCTGAGTAGGGAATTCATTTTCAGTGCTGCTCTGTTATTTGATTAGTGTAGCTCTGCTTTAAGAAAATTATACTTCAATTTTATTTGATTAAAGAACATTAAAGACCTATTATAGCATTGTGTTGCAAAGCTATACTTAAGGGTTTTTAGATTTCCTGTTACAAATCCCCCTTTTAGTCTATCTTGGTGATTTAAGAATTGCAAGTGTAAATATCACATAACTCATTCCTATGGATGCAATTCTTCTTAAAGGGAAATCATATATTCATTTTTTATGGTCTATTCCCTAATTCAAAAACATTTGCATTTCATTATATATATTTTAGTCCTTCAAATTCATTTAAAAACATACTTCAGTTAAAAAATTTTTTTAGGAAAGGCATTTTATGCTAGCTGAGCAAAAGTAAATTTCACCCAAGATCATATTTGAAATTTCACTGATTCTAAATGAGGATTTGGAAAATTCATGGTCAGATCTCATTTTGAGCATCTTTGGTTTTTTTTTTTTTCCTTTTTTAGGAAGAGGCCAACCACAAATTAATTTGTGGCTTATTGAGATTTGGTACCTTTGGTCTGTTTAATAATTTCCGTATTTGTTGTATTTTCCCTCTCCCCCATTTCTTTTTCCTTTTAACCTAACTCTTCTTGAAGTTTCATTCAGAAAACACTTTTCTATTCTGAAAATTAAACCACTGTTCCTGTTTAGGTAGCAGCCGGAGAAATAAACTTTGCTATTCCCTGCAGGGACCAGGTGCAGGAGAGGTTGGGCGGGGTCCAAGAGGAGGGAATTGTTCAAAGCTTTGATTCCTCCCAGAAAAGGTCCATGTGAAGCCTCACCCAATGATTTCCACTAACAGCAGACCCAACCATAGTCAAGCGGGTCAATTAATATATGTCCAAAAGGGAAAAAAATAAGAAAATATTATTTTTCAGAGCAAAATATGCTCTGATTACTATACCCAGTCTAGTTGCTCCTCTACTTAAAGTCACTTCAGCATTTTTCATGACCTGTTACCGAAGGCTGGACACCAAGGGAAGAAAGAAACCCGTCAACCTCTGTAACCTACCACCATATCAGCTAGTGCCTTGGGGCCCCTTATTCTGCAAATTCCTCCATTATTTAGGTTATCTGTAGATAGCTCTTCTTCCAATTACTTGCGAAACATCAACTTTCATAAATATGTTCCTTTGCTTGTTCATTTACACATTGAATGGATGTTTATTGGGTACATCTCCCATGCCAGGTACTGCTTTATAAATAATAGCTCTTTGGGACAATCATTCCCCCATCACTATCTTCTTCTTTCTTCCCCTCAATCACTTCATCCCTTTCCAAGTACAGTGTGACCTGAAGGATACTCTACCAGCAGTTTTCACTGGGCCCTTTACAGCACTTTATGTGATAAAAAGGAAACTCTCACATTTTTGCTAACACCACATTTATGTATGTATGAAATGCAACTATTGAATTCTAAATGTTAAGAAACTGGAGCTTTGATTTTTTTGTCATCTATTATTTGAGAATTTGGGGAGGGTATAAAAATCCTTCCCACTTTGGAAGATTTTTCTTTTATAAACTTTGGTCATTAATATTTCTAGCTCCATTCCATACTGTTAAAAGAGTTACAACCAATAAGTGGTCATTTTTTTAAACGCTTTTTGAAATAATTGCATTATTGAATAATTTTATTTTTTATATCATCTAAGTTATTTTTACCTCTCTTCTTTGAGAAGCTGATTTTGAGTTTCATCTAGAAGAGTAAATGTACAAGAAGAGCCTAGAATTTTGGGAATTTAATGAGAGACAACTTCCTTTACCTGATAAACCAACTCTAAAGTTACAGGGTTTGAAACAGTTTAAAACTTGATGAGAATAGACAGATCAGAAGACTTGAATAGATAATCTATAGAAAGGCCTATGTATTTCCTGGAATTTAGTGTATAGCAATGATGACATCTTAAATGGTAGCAGACTATTTGGAACAAAATAAATATTATACATCTCAAAAACTGTAAGTGAATTAAGTACAAAATGTATCAAAAATGGTAAGATTATAAAAGGAAAACATAGAAAAACATTTTAATTACCTTAATTAAGAGAAAAGCCTTTCTTCTGAGCATGACCAAAACAGAAAAAAAACAGTGAACATTAAGAACAAAGTTGATAAATTGAATTCTCCATCTCCCCAGCCCCCCAAAGTACACTTCTCCATTGCAGAAGACACTATAACCAAAGTGAATACACCAGAACCACCCGGAGAAAACTCTTGTCAACATATATGAGGGCAGAGTCTATCCTGTGTTTAAAATCTTTCCTTTTTTCCCAACTTGATGTTATCAGTCTGTCTGTGAAATTATATAGTAATTGCTCAGAATTATTTTATCCACAAAACTACAGTTCAAGACCTAACATTTCATCTAGGTGATTGTTTTTTAATCTCTCTACTTTCAACCTTGGCACTGTGGACAATTTGACCTGAATGATTCTTTGTTGTGGGAGATGGTCCAGTGCAGTGTCACGTTTTTAGTAGCACACCTGACTTCTAGATGCCAGCAGCAGCTCCTTAGTCCTGACAGTCAAAAATATCTCCAAACATTGCCATGTGTCCCTGTTTGGAAACCACAGTTCTGATTGTATTGTCAGCCTATTGAGAGCAGAAGCTGTCCTAGTCATGTCCTAGTCATGTCCTAGTCATCCTATCTCAGTGCACATGGTAACAATTCAATAAATATTTGTTGTATATAAAGGAATAAAGAATGACTTCTCTAAAAATCTTTCCTGCACCAAAAATGCTATTAAATGAAAACTTATGTATATCAAGAATATTTTCTCTGTTAGTTCCTCACTTATGTTACAATGTATTAGATATAAAATGCAACCATGAGTAGAATGGTTTAGATAGTTTCTGAGAAGACTCTATAGGGAGTCTTTCATAACTTGGGTTAATTTTGTGTGCCCCTTCATTGTTATTTTAGGACCTTTTCCTATACTCTTGCTATTGGTGGATAGATTTTTTTTTTAATTAATAGACTTTATTTTTTGAAAAGTTTTTGGGTTGCAGAAACATTGAGCAGAAAGTGCAGAGAGTTCTCATAAGCCACCTTCCCCCCACCTTTCCCTATTATTAACATCTTCCATTTAGTGTGGTACATGTGTCACAGTGGGTGAGCCAATAATGATACATTATTGTTGACTGAAGTCCATAGTTTACATTAGGGTTCATTCTTTGTATTGTACATTTTGTGGGTTTTTTAAAAGAATTAATTTTTTAGAGTAGTTTATATTCACAGAAAAATTGAGAGGGAGGTACAGAGATTTCCCATATACTCCCTGCCCCTACACTTGCGTAGCCTCGCCCATTATCAACATCCCCCACCAGAGTGGTACATTTGTTACAACTGATGAACCTGTGTTGACACATCATTATCACCCAGTCCGTAGTTTATGTTAGGGTTCACTCGGTGTTGCATATTTTATGTTGTATTTTGGTTAAATGTGAAGACTCGACTCTACAATCAGACTGTCCAACTGTATCTTAGCCCTGTCACTACTGTGTGATCTTTTCCAAGTTACTTTATCATTTTGTGCCTGACTTTCCCAACCTTTAATATGGAGATGTTAATAATACCTACTTCAGAGAGTAGTGAGAATAGAGAGAAGACATGTAAATGGATTAGAAATGTGCCTGGCACAAAGTATGTGCTTAACACATCTTAGCTGTTATTATCTAATCCATAATATATCAGAAGCGTTCAGGCATCCAACGAAATCTGATGACCATGTTAGGAAAAAGTTTAGGGGAAAATATATTCAGTATTTCAAACTAGGATGCTAGAAATATACCTCCTCTCACCTCCTTTCTCTGCCTCCGTTTAGGTCAGTGGAGTCAGGGAAATTATGGCTCATAGTTCCCAGGCCCTGGCAGGTACCAAAGGCGGGTGGGAGAGGAGGCCTAGCGGGTCAGGGTAAGGGGCAGAGAGACCACAGACAAGAACCCTGGGAGGAGAGGGCTGATAGCAAAGGCTAAGGATCAGAGATCAGGAGATCAAGTACTCATGGGGTCAAAGCTTCATTGGGACTGTTTACCTAGTTTTCTCCCATCTTATACTCCATTACTGGTATCAATATTTCTCTGTTCTGCAAATATGCAGCTCCTTTAAAAGCTTTCTTTGGGATTTCGTGTTACCTAACTTTGGAAAACCTGTATATGAAGATTCTCTTACCATTTTCCTCCCTCTTTTTTTTACATTTAGATTCCCCTACTTTTTGGGGGTGCAGAAGGAAGAGGCGAAAGATGCTAGTCCTTACTTCAGTGCCCTTTGAAATTTTGCTAGAAAGGAGGTGTGTTTTTTAAACTAATGTACATATATAACAGTATATAGCCATATATTGAGGTCATAGACTATTGCACTATTAATTAAACTATCAAAAATTAAGGATGCTTTTAAGCCCTAGATCCTAAAATTTGAGAAGAATTTGTAGAATGATAATTCTTATCCTTGAATTTAAAAATCAAGCACAGTGCTCCTCTAAATTCTCTTCTAAAAATTAACTCATATGAAAATTGTGTTCCAATAATTAATTGTACACTAGTGCAAGTTTATATGTTTATTTCATTTATGAAACCATAAAGATGATGGGAGTAATCATTTGAAACAAAAAATTGGTAGAACAATTTAAAAAAATTTTTTGAGAAAACCTTTTATAGCAAGTACTTAAAATGTCATATCCGTTTTCATTTCTATCTTGAAATATTCTTTTATAGCTCTGCAATGGAGGCTCAGTGACTGATCTTGTGAAAGGATTTCTGAAGAAGGGCAAAAGAATGAGTGAGCCCATAATTGCCTACATTTTACGTGAAGCGCTAATGGTAAGGCAATTTAAGTTGTTTGTGCATTAATTATGAGGCAGTTCTAGTTAAATAAGAAAATGTGGAGCCTATTTTTAGAAAAATATCACTACATTAGTATTTATTGATGCAAGGGTATATGCAAAATCTGAAATGTTTAGCATAACTAATTCCTTTTTTCCGTTAGAAATCTATCCTTCTTTTGTCAACAGACCTCTGAGTTCTCATCTCCTAAGTGTATTTCTGACGTTGTGATTCTGATGAAGGTAGAGAATGTGTATTTGGAACTAATAGTTAGGTTTTTGTTTGCCATTATTTTAAATCAGTATGTAGAATGTTTTCTTCTATTGAGATCAATATATTTTTAATAAAATATTTGATAACAGCTAAAGAGTATGCTCTGGTTTTGTGAATTTTTATGTAATCCAAAGTAGAAATGATGCACTTTGATTTGACTAACTCAATGTGAAACATTTAAGAATGTTTGAATGTTAATTTTAACATGTATTTCCTGTTGATTTTGCAGAAATGCATCCATCTGAAAAATGTTCCTTTGTTTGATGCTTTCTTGAAGTCCTTGTATATAGGGACTTTTATATAAAATGCTTGCATATAGGGACTTGTATATACAGCCCTGTGGCCTAGTGGTTAAGTTTGGCACGCTCCTCTTCAGAGACCTAGGTTCATGGGTTTGGATCCTGGGCGTGGAGCTACACCACTTGTCAGGCATGATGTGGTGGCAACCCACATATAAAGTAGAGGCAGATTGGCACAGATCTTAGCTCAGGGAAAATCTTCCTCAGCAAAAAAAAAAAAAAAAAAAAAAAAAATGTTATTATATATTTCCCACTTCTAGGGACTTCAGCATTTGCATAACAACAAAACTATCCACCGTGATGTAAAAGGAAATAACATCCTGTTGACCACTGAAGGCGGAGTTAAACTTGTAGATTTTGGTAAGTTTTGCTTGAAATGTGTGAGTTTGGGCAGCAAAATGAGTAGTATGATGTGATTTGATTGCTTTCCATCAGCCTTGCTTTCTAGGCATTGAAAGTAGAGAAAAAACAGTATCTCAATGAAGTAAGAAGGTGCAGAGATTTTTGAAAATTTGGCAAATGAGAAATTCCCAGGAAAAAGAGAAACTTTTGTCAAGTCAGCTAGCTTGTGCCCCTAAGTCCACTGTAACTGTACGTGTGGTTAATTCTCTAAGATAGAGAGCACCCAGATGATTTCCCTAAGCTTCAGTGGTAATCCCACAGCCCTTACTAGTGATTGCTTTACAAATGGGCGTGTGCCCAAATCCGGGATTTTGAGACATGGGGGAAAATCTTCAAAGGTCTCGGGGACATTTCTTCCTTCCTAAGAATGAGGCACAGGCAAAGATGGTCTCTTGCTTCCTTGGACGCTCTGTGTCTTATTGTGATGCCTGAACCTGCGCAGCCGCCTCCGTCTGCCCTGAGTTGTTCCATCCCGAGTGGAAAGGCCACTGTGAGGAAGGCAGAGCTGAGAGACTGGAAGAATGAGGGTCCTTGATGACATAATCGAGCCACTAAATCCGCCAACTTTGGAGCCAGCCCCATCTCTGGACCTTTTGTCCTGTGAGAGAAATTTCCGTATTTACTAAGCCAATTTGGAGTTTCTGTGTCATAGCCAGGGGTACCAGAGTTGATACCTCTACCCTTCATCTGGGCAGTTATTTACTGGTTTTGACAGTGTTTTCCTGCACCTCTTCTCATTTGATCCCAACTAATACACTAGTCCTGTGAGTGGACGACGTTGTTCTAAGAGATCTCAATGTCCTTCAGTCATTCCTCCTCTTCCCTTCCTCCCCTGCCCTCTCGCTGGGTAAGGTCTCCCTCCGTGTGCTTCTGTACCCTGCATGTTTCTCCATTTTTGTCTTTATCACAGAGAATTATAATTATCTATTTGGTCTTTAGAGATAGATCAAGATACTTAGAAATACACGTAGACAGGGTCTTTGAGAGGTGGGATATGTCTTATTTTCTTTTGTAGACCTACTGCTTTGGGGATGGTAGTTCAATGAGTGAGAGTTGAATGAACGAATCTTCCTTCATCCTGCATTTTGGGAACTGAAGCTTAGGAAGATTAATTGATTAACTTTAGAAATCTGTTGTTTTAATATTTAAGTATGTAGCTCTCTAGGAATCTGGCTTAAGTGAGAAATGAATTTCAGAGCATCTAGAGAAGAATGGGTGAGTAACATATCCTTCAAACAGCCGTGCATCTTCCTTTGTTTCCTCAGTTTTGCAAACAACTGAGCAGCAGTGAGTTTCACCGTGAATTCCTGATTAATATCTGGGACGCAGCTAGTGTGTCTTGCTATTGGAGTTTAGAGCTGCGCGTCTGAACAATCTGGCTGGGTTAGGGTACTAACAGGAAATTGTGCTTGACATTTAAAACAGTGACAACAAACACTCTTCGCTGCTCCACAGGAAGGGCCATGACTCTCCTCAGAAAATAATTTTGGCTCCACTCTAACAGACCCAAATGGTGAACTTGATATTTAACTTGAGGTCTCATAATTCTGTTGCTGTAAAAAATGGCTACAGTAAGTATAACCTAGGTTGAAAATTGTTCAAACCAGTGTAAGTAAACATCTTCAGTCATGAAAGAAAGACTCAGTAAACCAGTAGCTTTGAGAAATGCAACTTCTTGGGATACATTCCAAAGTAATCTAGATTATAAACATATACCTAGATAATAAATAAAGGACCTTTTATAGGATATCTTTATAAAGCAGTCGTAAGTTAGAAAGCTGACAAAATGAGAGCTTTGGTTTTAGATTAATTGACTTATATACTTTCAGCAATAATTAGAAAAGAGATCCAGTTGCCTATTAAATGTGTTCCCAGCATCTGATATTAAAATGATATTATTTGCATATAAGATAATGCTTATATTTCTATCCTCCATGGTAAGAGGACACGGATTCAGTTCACCTAAAATAATTCATAGGTTTTCATATGAATTAAAACCCAAGGATGGAGGTGCATGCATAGTGAAACTTCTCAAGGGCAGAAGGAACAAGATGTGATAAACCACAAACTCCAGAATCAAACTGAAAATCGTTGTCCTCGTTTTATGTTTAAATCACATTTTCAGAGAAGGCTGAAGCTAGGTGAAAGGGTTTTAGAATACATTTTATTTGAATTTCTCACCTCATAAAATATATGGTAAGCTCATTATTGGATACTGACGATCTGTACTTGGATGGCCACCAGTCCTCAAAATGTCCAAAATTGAATCCCACCCCCTCATCCATCCCCAGAAATCTGCTTAATCTCAAGTGTTTCGTGTCTTAGAAAAGTCACGAGTATCTACTCAACCCAGAAATCTTCGGCTCATCCTTGGGTCTTCCCCTCCCACGTCTACAGCTAGTCACAAAGCTCTCTTTCTCTGTTAGACATCCCCAGACTCCTCCTTATTGTTCCTGCCTAGTCTAATCGTCATCTTTGAGGGACCTGCAGTTACACGTTACTGAACTCCCTGCGTCTAGTCTCACTGCCCTGCTGCCAGTTCATCCTCCACACCGCAGCCAGAGGGACCTTTCAGAAAGCACGTCTAGTCCTGCCACTCTCTTGCTCAATTTCTGTTCAATGGCTTCCTCTAGACCTTGGGGAGAGGTTTGCCTTATGACCTTCTGTGCTGGCACAGAGCGAGCACTTAACGATTGATGCCTTTTTAATACCCCTTGGTGCTCAGCAGGTACCCTCTCTTCCTATTACCTACTAGGGAGGTCAACCTCTTTCAGTTCCGTAAAGGTGCCACACTCGCGCTCAGTCAGGGCTCTTACACATGTCATTGAGGAGGTACTTTGAAATTTATTCACATGCTTTTCTCTTTTGCCTATCCAAGAACATGGTCTTCACCCCAGTCTGCCTGAGGCATCTCTCTGGGGGGAGATTAAGATTTGTTCCAGAAGGAATGCAAGAAGATGACTGAGGTAATAGTATTTAACATTCCAAAATAGGAATCTGTAGCAAGACCTAGGCTATCTCTTAAGAAAGGACTGTCTAAGTTGTTTTGTCTTCTCTTCAGCTCATGGAGAGAGAATTTGCGGGGATAAACCACAGGGTTTCATGTAAGAGAGAACAGAAAGAAGAGGGAAATTCTTACTGATTCTAAGGTAATTATAGAAAGAAGATATAGAGAAGGAGGTAGGAGAGTGAGAGGAGCTTTAAAAAGTGAAGATGGCAATGAGGGCAGAAAGGAGCGCTTACCCTCACTCTTCCCTCACTGTCATTCCACGGTCCAGAGGAGGCCCCTGCAGAGTCTGCCGCAGTCCAGCTGCATCCTTGTTACCTGGAGATGTAGAGTGAGGAGGTGGAGGAAGCACTCACTCTCACTTTCCCCACACCCTTACCCTTAGTTTCCTGAAATCCAAAAGTAACTGAGAATATGGCTGGGGAGTTTCTAGATGGGGCTGCTGGGGAGGGGCAGTGAGGCATAGAGTAGATCACCTGGGCGAGGTCCGAGCAGGAGTCACAGTCAGACCTCAGAGTGTTCTCAGCTCCAGCTTGAGCCAATCTGAGCCTTCCTCTGCCAGGAGCAACTTCAGGAAGCCCTGCCTGCATGAGGAGCAGAGACCATGAGCTCACCAGATGCAGATGCCAGCATGGGAGGCCAGTGGGGCACCTAGCAGCAGGGCAGACAAAGCCACATGGTCCAAAAGGCTAGAAACCCACCAAGCCTGAGGACCCTCTCTCTGCTCCCTGCCACAAAGTTTGTAAGCCATCCCTCTTCCTGTACAGACAGTTCCATCTTCAGGAGAGAAAGAGGAGGAGGGACACCATGTAAGAGAGGGAGCAAGCACTTTTATCTAAGAGAGACGGAACTCTATCTAGAAGGACTTATGGGTTTGTTGGGTCTGACTAAGCTTTACTTCCCTTGAGCCAGTGGGTAGGAGGGTAGAGAGAAACCATAATAGTTACAGGGAAATTGAAGAAATTACAATTTCTCTGCTTATCTAAGTATAGTGTCATTAAATTTTGTGACCAGTTACAAACATGATGCTGCTTTCCATGCATAGAAACTGCTCCCACTGCTGCCCCAGCTAACTTCTGTTTGCCTGGCTGAGTGCCTCCCCAACGCCTTATACTTTGATAGGCACTCGGTTGTCGCACTTGATTGTAATCCTGTGTTTAATTTGACCACCTTCCCTGCTAAGCGGTAAGCTTCATGACCACAGGGTCTCTGTCTGGTCTCTCACTTTGTCCCTAGCACCAAGCATGGTACTGGCACATTGAAAGTGCTCAGTAAATACTTTAGGATGAATGAAGAAATGGGAGGTGGGACTTTCCGTACAACTGTGTGGCTGCGAGAAAGTTGCTTAAAATCTCTCAGGACGTCTATCTGCTCATCTTTGGGTGTGAAAAAGAAGTCTGTACCTTGTACGGCTGATTACTGTGAAGAGTAGATGGGATGATATGGGTCAACTATTTAGTATAGTTACTGACACTTTATAATTTAAAAAATCTGAGCTATTACCATCACTATGAAATCATATTCTCACTTAGCCTCTAAGTCAGTGTCGTACACATAGTAGGTACTCTATAAATAGTAAATAGTTGCTAAATATGAAAATCTGAGTTCCTGAAACAGGTGCCTCTTTCTGTTTCGAAAAACCAAAAATAGTAAATTCAGTATTACTTAAAATATCAGGCTACTTAATTACACTAAAAGTAAAATTCAGTTTGTTAATACTAGGAATACAGCCTTTAAGAAAATCTTTTGTGTTTTTGTTAAGTGGAATATGCTTTTATAAAAAACCACCAGACACCTCAGAGAGTAAAAAGACAAGTGAGCTTGTAAACATTATTAATGAAATACATTAGCTGTCGTGGGTATACGATCAACCAATAAATACTATGACCTCCCAGGAGATAAACCCCTTTAGGCAAGTCAACTAGTGTTTCAAAAAGCAGTCCTTATCTGG